TTTCCCTACGTGTCGCAGCACTGCTTTTGTCATAAATCAGGTGTCCGTATGAGTGGGTCTGTTCATGGACTCTCCATTCTGTTTCATTGGCCATTGTCTATTCTTGTGACAATACCACTCTGTTTAAGTTACTTAGCAGCTTTATAATAAGTCCTGGTAACTGGCAGCATAAATACTTCAGCTTTGTTCCTCAAAATTGCCTTGGCTATTCTTGGCCTTTTGTATTTCCATACAATGCTTTAAAAATCAGCTTGTCGAGATCGACAAATGTACCTAGAAGGATTTTGATAGGCAGTTTAATGATACCAAGGATCAGATTAGGGAGAAATAACATCATTATAATACTGACCGTTCTAATTCATGAAATAGTATATACACCTCTATTTATTAATGTCTTCTTTAATTTGTCTGTAATATTTTGTAGTTTCCAGTATAGAAATCACTCACGTTTCTGTACATTTATTTTTAAGTATTTGAATTTTTATGCTAATACAAGTGTTATCATTTTAAAATTTCATTTTCTATTTGTTTTTTTTCCTAATGTGGGTTGAATTAAAGGGATAAACATAATTTTTTAATGCCTTCCTCCCTCCCTCCTTTCCTTTCTTCCCCAGCACATAATCTGTCTCTCAAAGGCATATCTTGGACACGTCATGCAAACTGTTTTACCTTTTGTTCCCTTATACTAAGAAGGCAGAGTAAATAAATAAATAAATAAACAGCTGCCAAGCAGATCTAGTAAGAATGCTCAGTGGACATATAATAGCCTCCTTATTAGTAGCAAGAGATAATTAAACTAATCTGAACAAACTAAAATATGACCAATTACCTCCTTCTCCCTGAAGTGAACTCAGCAAATACATGACACTATTGTCTAGACTGTCTGATTGTGGGATTTGTGGGCAAAACTGGGCAAATGGGCACATTCTTGTCCACTGTCTTGACTGGTTTTAGATATTGTCTCAAAGAATTTTTTTAAGGTAAAATCAATTAAACTAGGTTATACGTACTAAAATGGCTAAAGTCACACAAGCCTTAAATTAGTTATAAACTTTCACAAATGGAAAACTCAAATGAGTGATCAAAATATCCCTAAACAGTCCATTTCCTAAGTGGGACACTATCTCTGTGATCTAAAATCAGATTTCCAATTGGAAACCCCATAGGAAATGAATCCCAGGTTAAGAGAAATCACCCAATTAACCCTCCAAATAAGAGTGCACACGCCTATTCAGAATGGCTCTCACTTCCATTACAGCAGACCACAACACACTACCACTGCCACCATCACTGTCAGAATAAAGCCCTAAGGAGGTTTCCAACACTTTTACAAATTAGTGGAAGGTCAGTGTAAAGTTCAACACCTCCCAAGGTATCCCGTGTTGTCACTTACTCGTAAGATCTCCCTGCAGATGTACGCGATCCACTCTTCCTTCAACGTGTTACCTTTCGTGTTCTTGATCAGGTCAGTGACAGAGCCAGCACCACAAAACTCCATCACCAACTGGCAAAGGAAGCAAACATGCCATTATTATCATTACACTTCACGGCTTCCAATGAGTTAAAAAAGCATAAGGTGTCCCACCTGGCTGCTTTGGAATGCCATTCCTGCAAAGAAAAAGTGACCATAAAACGATATATAAAACATAAATTTTTATCTTAATTTTTTCCCAAAATGAAAGAAAGGAAAGATTATTTTTAATTTTCCAACCTGAAAATTATAGCTGGAAAACTAGGAAAATCTTCATATTCTAAGTATTTGTCTTAAATGAGGGCAGTTAGGTGGCACAGATGTAGTTGAGAATATCCCTGTGTTTTTATCCAATGGTCAAACTCAACTCTCCTATAAAAGTGGCATCATTCCCCTGTCTGAAAGAGCTGTGGTTGTCTAGGCAATCCCAAGTCAGAACAATTCAAGTGCACACTGTTTATGCTATTGGCTTGTAAGTGGCACTGTAAGCTGTCAGAGTGAGGACTATCTGCTTTTAATTAACTTCAGCAAATGTTCCCAGGAGGCTGGACATATCAAATAAATTCAATAAACAATAAGCCCTAATTTAGCACTTTTCATCCCCAAAGCTCCAAGTTCTCTATAAATATAAACTCATTACTGTACTCAGCAACTTTATAAAATAGGCAGAAAATGAACACCTCCCTTAGTTAATGGAGGAGTAGAGACTAGAAGAGGAAAAGCTATCCATTTGCTTTTACATCCATTTTCTAGGATTAGAAAAACACATCCATTTCCACACATTCTCCCTCTTCTTCAAAAAGTCTGCCACAAAAGTCATCTTTTTGTGACAATAATTTAGATGACTAGCAATCAATCTCTGATTTGACACTAGAAACAGAACTAATATGGGGCCATAATGAAATCACATTGATGGTTTTGGCTTTGTCCAAACGTACATTCCTAACCTCAGCACCATGTCACCAGGTCCTAAAAGATACCCCACCAGGCTGTAAGATCTTTGGGCAGAAATAATGTTCCCTTTTTTTTCTGCATGTCTGGTTGAAACAATAAAAACTCATGAAATGAGTTTCCTGAATGAGTTTCTAATAATGTCTGTTCTGATTTATCTTCTTATGATTTTACAAAGGGCAATGAAACCCTCCAATCTTCTCCAGAGTACCAGTGGAGACTGATCAGGAGCTTTTGTAAGGAAATTTGAAAATGCCACAATAGACCTCGTTCCAACCCAGTAAGAGTTGTAAAATTACCATATATGAGAGCCAGGAAGCTCTCAAAGACCACAATATCATGTTAGAAAGGACTGAGGAATCAACTTTAAGAGGTCTCACTGGCCAAAGATGGGATAATTTCAGCATCGGTAAGAATAAGAACTGCAATATCTTGAAACACATTAAATATGCTGAACTAAATGCATTAATAAAGACACCCCTTAAAAAGAATATAATTGGGGGGTTTCCCTGGTGGCGCAGTGGTTCAGAGTCCGCCTGCCGATGCAGGGGACACGGGTTCGTGCCCCGGTCCGGGAGGATCCCACATGCCGCGGAGCGGCTGGGCCCGTGAGCCATGGCCGCTGAGCCTGTGCGTCCGGATCCTGTGCTCCGCAACGGGAGAGGAGAGGCCACAACCGTGAGAGGCCCGCGTACCGCAAAAAAAAAAAAGAATATAATTGGCACTGTTTGAAGAAAATGAAGAGCCAACTTCTTATATTGAGACTGGTAGATAAAGGGAAAGAATGAAGAATTTACACTGCCTTTCTTGTACAAGTTTTACCACAGTGATTAAATAATAAAAGAGGTAAAACTTCTCTTCACGAAAAACAAATATTCCATCTAATAAGTGAAGAAGACATAATAGAATTAGAATATCATTATTTCACAACCTCTAATAAACTAGTGGATTTAGGCACTGATGATCAGTGGCTGCTAACATTAAAAAAAAAAAAAAAAGAAAGAATCAGTTATGATTTGCTTCTTGATTAGAATAACACAACATCACCTCAGGAGTAGTCTTGCCAAAAACAAAAAAACTAAACTAAACAGAAACCCAAAACTAAATCTGATCAAGCCTCTACTTCCAGTTACCAATTTACAGGAAATTCAGAGGACTGAGGAACATGTTACATCATGGGAATATAATCAACAAAACCTAGAATAAAAAACTCCACAGGGTAAATAGCCCATTTGCTTCAACAAATATATATCAAGAAGGATAAAGAGAGATGGAGAGGAAATCTGTAGATTTTAAAACACTTAAAAAGATATACCAACAAATTGCAATGGATGCAACTTAACTGGATACTGATTTTTTTTTTAAATGTTGCTAAAAATTTTGAGACAGTCTACAGTCTAGATATTTGCTGACACTAAGGAAATGTGGTTGACATTTTTTAAGTGTGATAATAGTGCTGTGGATATGTGAAAAAAACGGTCCTATATTTTAGAGAAACATACTGGAGTACTATGGATAAAAATGATATGATGATAGTTTCTTCTACAAATAGTACAGGGTCAACTGGATAGCCACATGTGAAAGAATGATGTTGAACCCTTACCTCATGCCACATACAAAAAATATCTCAAAATGGATCAAAGACCTAACTATAAGAGCTACAACTGTAAAACTCTTAGGAGAGAACATGGGGTACATTTCCATGACCTTGGACTTGGCAATGGTTTCTTAACTAAGAAAGCAAAAGCACAAACAACAAAAGAAAGAGGTAAATTGGATTTCATCAACATTAAAAATTTTGTGCATTGAAGTATACTATCGAGAGTGAAATGACAACCCATAGAAAAGTATATGCAAATCACATATCTAATAAGGGTCTAGTATCCAGATTGTATAAAGAACTCTTACAACTCAACAACAAAAATATAAACAACACCATTTAAAAACAGGCAAAACGCTTGAATAGACATTTCTCCGAAGAATATATACAAATAGCCAACGATGTTCCACATCAATAGTGGTTAGGAAAACGTGAGTCAAAAGCAGAATGAGATATCACTCCACACCTTCTAGGATGACTATAATTAAAAAAAAAAAAAAAAAAGCAGAAAATAATATGCTGGCAAAATGTGGAGAAACTGGAACCCTCCTACATTGCTGGAGGGAATGTAAACTGAGACAAACTGTTTGATGGTTCCTCAATAAGTTAAAACATAGAAATACCACATGACCTAGCAATTCCACTTCTAGGTATATACCCCCCAAAATTGAAAACAGGTGTTCAGACAAAAGCTTGCATATGAATGTTCAAAGCAGCACTGTTCACAATAGACAAAAGGTGGAATTAACCAAACTGTCCATGTCAGATGAATAAAATGTGGTAGAGGCATACAATAGAGTATTATCAGCTGTGAAAAGGAATCAAGTACTGATGCATGATACAACATTGGATGAATCCTGAAAACACTATGTTAACTGAAATAAGCCAGAGGAAAAATGCTAAATATTGTATGAATCCATTTATACAAAATATCCAGAAAGGCAAATACACAGAGACAGAAAGCATATTAGTAGTTTCCAGGCACTAGGTGGAGGGAAGAATGGGAGTTCCAGCTTAATGGGTACAGAGTTTCCTTTTGGGGGTGATGAAAAAGTTCTAGAACTAGACAGAGGTGATGTTTGCACAACACTGTGTACTTAATCCCACTGAATTATACACTTTAAAATTATTAAAATGGTAAACTTCAAGCTGTGTGTATTTTACCCGAATTTTTTTTTTTTAAAGATGGTGACATTTGTTTCAAAACAATAGAAGGGAGGAATTAGATGGCTGTGTAGATGGGGCAGGATTGACTACTGGTTTGATGACCGTTGGGGCTAGTTTGGGGCACATTATAGTGTTCTGTCTACTTTTGTGTATTTTGGGGATTCTCTATAAATACAAAGTTAAAGAAAATCTCAGTTATGTAAATTGTGGTTTAACAGCAGCAGGATGGACCAAAGAAACATCTTTGGGTAGAAAGAAAAGAACATTTTCTCAAGTGAGCAAAACATGTTTGTGCCCCTTCTCCATATCCTAACTTGAAAAACACAGCGACCAGACCTCCTACAAGTGCATCCATTGCTCCTGTATCAGCTGGAGAAAATGTCCCACCATTGAGCTCTATTAGCCACATAATTATAGTTCCCAAGGAAAGCAGTGGAAGCCCAGTGACTCTGGTCTTTCAAAATTAGATTGGACAAAATACTTTCAAATGTTCAGTAGGAAACAATCCTGCTCTAGCCAGGCACTAATGTCAGTGGTTTCTATAATTTGCTTCTCCATTCAGCTCCAGCTAAAGGCTGCTAAGTTCTTTTCATCTCACTATGGAACAAAATGATTGTTAAATTATGTAATGGGATTTTTTTTTAAAGAAAAAGAAAGAAAGAAACCAGCCTTTGCTAGCAATCGGCTCCTGCAGCCTCACAGCAACACTGATAATTACTGCCGCCACACAGCGGGGACACTCCCTCACCACAAGTAACCTCATCACATTAATAAACAGAAACAGGGCTCAACATGCCAAGCCCAGCAGTGATAAGTCAATAACTTCACATCTCACAAGCAAGAAATAATGCATCATTAATAATTCTTCCTGAAAGAAAGTCCTCAAAGAGTTGACACTGGGGCAACAACGCTTGCTAACATTTACTGAGAAGTTACCATGTGCCAGGCACTGGGCTGAGTGATTTGCACTTATTATTTCATTAATTCTCCTTCTCCTCAATTCCCTTTTCTTTATTTATTTGGAAATGAAGGCTAGTTATGGTCTGCAGCCTTACCCACGGTATATATACTCGTTAAGTAACTAGGGCAGGGTTGAAAGCATCATGCTTTCTCAAGTACTAGCTGTATGAACTTGGGCATGTTCCCTAACTCCGCTGGGCTCAGCACCCCGCCACCATCACTATTAAAACAAAATAAAAGCGTCAGCCTTATACGTGTGATGTGAACACTGTGTCCTACAGAATGGAAAGCTTCTGGTAGCCAGAAATCTCAAACTCTATTACTTATCCATTCTTTGGTCTGTTTGCATTTATTA